CATTAGGTCCTCATTTTTCCCCTCCCTCCCCGCTCCCCCCTCCCGCATGAGCCCTTGATAGTTTATAAATGGGTATTTTGTCATATCTTGCCCTGTCCGACGTCTCCCTTCACCCACTTTTTGGTTGTCTGTCCCCCAGGGAGGAGGTCACACACAGTTCCATGTAATCGGTTCCCTCTTTCCTACCCATTCTCCCTTTACCCTCCCTGTTTTGCCACTCACACCACTGGTCCTATAGGGCTCATCCGTCCTGGATTCCCTGTATTTTCAGTTCCTAGTGTCGTTTGATCTTTTGACTGCTGCTTCCATGAAGCATTGACTGTGGATCCAAGCAAGACAGAATCCTGGATAGCTTCAAACTTTTCTTCAAGTATCCTGATGCTACCTATTGGTCCAGTTGTGAGGATTGTAGTTTTCTTTACATTGAGTTGTGATCCATATGGAAGACTGCATTCCTTGATCAGCATGGTTTACTATATGAGAGTTTAGTTAGTGCTTGCTTCGGCGGCACATATACTAAAATTGGAACGATACAGAGAGTTTAGTTCCTGATCATACAAAGCAGTTAGGCATGCGAAGCCCCGGGTGCCTACGTGGTTGGGAGGGACTGCTGGGGGAAGGGCCAGCCCTGGTCAGGAGAGTCACTCAAGGGCCGTGTGACATCTCACTGACGGCTGTGTATGGACTGTTCCGTAGGAAAATGTCTTAGAAAGGAAAATGGTCATGTTCATAATACAGTGCGTTTGACGGGCCACAGCTTCTGTGTTTAAAAGTTTTTATCCTCTCCTTTAACCATACCTTAGTGTGTTATCATTTCCATTTAACACAAAAGGCACTGAGGTTTAACAAGTTAAGTTGTTTACCCAAGGTACATTGCTGGAGTTCCAACCCAGGCTTGTCTTTTTTCCTGATCCGAAATCCTTTTCATTTCTTTTCTTAATCACAAATCTGTCTTCTAGTTCACCAAATTTCTCCTCAGCTATGACTAATTGCCTTTTAAAACATCCACTACATTAAAAAAAAAAATTTGTGGAAACTAACTTTTCGTTAATTAAGTAGGGGATTATGTTTCAGACCATCAGGTTTGTATTCAATGATGTACACAACTTATCAAACATGCCTGTGGCTTGCTCTGTTCTCTCCCGCCCCCTTTTTCTCTTCTCCCTTTTGTTAGGACATTGTCTCTGTGTTCACCCAAGAGAACGCCTAGCTGACTTCTCGCCAATTGCTTATCCTTCCCTCCACGCCCCTCCCACTCCTGGTAACCATCAAAGTCGCTTTCTTTTGGTACGAAAGTCATCATCTTGGTTTTTTTCTGTCCTTGGCCTCATACAAAGGTTGCCCTTTGTGATGGACTCCCTTCACGCAGCAGACAGCGCTCCAAACCCACCCGTCACGAGGATTCCAGTTTCATCTGCTTCCTGAGTGTTGTGCAGTCTTGTGTGCACCCAAGTGTGTTTATCCATTCTCCCGCCGGCGGGCATTTAGGTTGTCAGTCTGAGCTCACTACCCTCATTCTGTCTCTCATTGCCACAGCTTCATATAGGTGCTTTATTCATATCTACAAAAGGGTTTTAATAAACCATCTATCCTATTTTTGGCTTTATAGTTTTTAGCTCTCCATGCTCTTTGAACAAACACACATATACACAGAGAGATTTCATTTATTATTATTTTTAAAATATTGAAATATTTCTGTGTTTGTATTTTTGAAGCATGGATTTTAATAGTTGGTTAGTTAACTGTGAGTTGTCCCTTTGTATTTTTGCCAGGAGACTACATATTAGGATTTTTCTTAATTCGTTATTTCTTTAGCACCTTTTTCTGCAAGACACTGTCCTAAAAGTTTGTTAGTAAGAACCAGCCCTTACCTTCAAGGAAGTCAGAATATAATTCTTTCCGAGATGGCTTTTGTACAAGCCTTTTAGCATCCGATTATACGATGACACTACATGTAAATCACAGTTGACCTAGATATACACACCCATCTGTCCTTATAATTACGAATGCATTATTGTTGCCTCTATATTACCACCCTTCCCTTCAAAACATTCCCAAGAAATTAGCTAGAGTAAATATGCGATTCTATTTTCGTTCTCTTTGTATATTTTGTTGTTCCAGGACAACAAGGCTCACATTATTGTTTTAGTAATAAAAGCTTGTTAATCTTAATTTACCTAAAGAGGAGATGAGGTTGATTATAATCTGTAATGCATATGATTTCAAAGCAGGAGTCAACCATGTCTATTTATAAAAACAATTACTGCCTGTTTTATTTTTTTTCTTCTTCTTTTTTTTATTGCCTGTTTTATTACATTTTACAGGAATAGTGCAAAAACGCCCTGGTGGCAGAAAAAGACGTCCACCCATATGTCTTTGAAGCATATATCAAATGAGTATGTGTGACATTTGGGACCAGAAGCTGTCAATCCCAGTCTGCATGGGATTTATTGTCCATTTTACAAGATGTGAAATATATTTCACCTGATAGGTTAGGGAAACAGAGCATGACCTGGAGATTTGAGGCTGACAAGACCATCTCTCACATATGCTGCCAATCAGATATTGAGAGAGGGGAAAGGGAAGGATTCTTTTTCCACTCATTTCTCTGGTTTTTCCAATACATCTGTTGTTTGATCTTAGGGGGGGATCTACTGCCATCAAGGCATAGGGACCCTATATAGGATTTCCTAAGACCGAAAATCTATATAGAAGCAGATAGTCTCAACTTTCTCTTGCAGAGCTGCTGGTGAGTTTGAACCATCAACACTGTGGTTAAGGGTCCAGTGCTTACCTGACAGTGCCACCAGAGTTTAATATAAATATACATGCACACACGTACATAACACACACTATATGTATACATTACATATATACATACGTGTGTGTGTGTGCCCAGCAAGGGAATATATATATTATACACATATATATGTATATACGTATATGCTGTTTCCCTGTTTTTAAGATACCTACAAATTATACCTCACAATGGGAAGGTGGTTTTTTAACAGACATAAATGTTTTCTTCCCCTGGGATTTGCCAAATATAATCATTCCTAGTCTCTAAGGTACATTATTAGTTGAGTTCTTTCAGTTTCAAACATCCGTTCATTTTTGCTTAGGTTATTTGGCATCTATCATGTGCCCTGACACCTGGATTGATATAGGTAATGATTCTTTTGGATTTCCTAATAGCTCCTTTATCTTTGATGACCCAATGAAATAGTCCCTTTTATCTGATCTGGAAAAACTCACATCTTCTAATATTTCTTAAGATAGTGGAGATGATGAATTTCATTTTACCTTGAATGAATGTGTGAACTTAGACCATTTGCCCCCCCCCCGCTGATAATGATCAACAGTGCTTATGTAGAGCTTTATGGTTAAGTGAAAATTTTTTGTGTGTATTATATTCAATCTTACTTGGAATACCAAGGTAAATAGTTTGTCATCGTTCATGATTTCACACCTATTGAAATTGACAGTAACGGGCCTTTGCTAACTCTGCTCAGAGAATTTAAGTGAACTGGTGAAAATGATTAAGTTTGTATAGAGGTGTGGTAGATGACTAAATTAGAAAGGTGGGTAAGAAGTGGTTGTTTTTTTTTTTTAATGTCTTGAAAAACTGGCCAAAGAATTTGGAATCTTTTCTCTATAGCTATTGGGTAGCCTTTAGAGATTTTGGATTGGTATGGCCATGTAATCAAGGTATTTAGAAAGAATCTTCCTATACTCAAACCCAGGCTGAGTTGCATCTGATTCATCGTGACACTGTAGGGCAGCGTGGAACAGCCCTCTAGGGTTCCCCAGGCTGTAAATCTTTACAGAAGCAGACAACTATATCTTTTTCTCAAGGAGCAGCCGGAGAGTTCTAACCACTGAGCCTTTGGGTGGCACGTTTTCACCAAGGCTCCTTTCTTAGAGGTGCCAGCTCAGTTAATGGTGGTGCCAGAGATGTGCCAACCACCGGGAAGGTACTAGTATTTGTATTTTTTAAAGTTCTGAAATAATGGTATTCTGTCTGGAAGGTGGTAGCCTGGTGGGAAAGTGGGGAGATCCAGGACAATTAACACAGGCGAAAGATGTGGTTGACTGCTCCTGTAAGGATGTACAGTTTCATCAACCCCAAGCGCAGGTCTACTCCTTTTCACTCTATCCTGAGTCCCTGTGGCTCGGAACTGACTGCATGGCAGTGGACTTGAAAGTGTTACAAGAGAGGAAGTCAATGGTGTTGGATGTTTCAGGTGACAAGAAGAAGTTAGCCATGACCAGAGGTAAAAATCACTGCTATTGAGCCGATGCTGACCCTATAAGACAGAACAGACCTGCCCTTGTGAGTTTCTCAGACGGTAGCTCTTCCTGGAAGGAGCCCTGGAGGCGTCATGCTTCCCTGTTGGGTTGCTAATTACAAGGTCACAGGTTCTACCAGGCAGCTCCACGGTAGAAAGATGGGGCTTTCTAGTCTCTTAGAGTGACAGTCCCACAAGAGCGGCTCTACCCTGCCCTGTCGTGCTGCTATGACTGGGCATTGACTCGATGTCAGTGAGTTTGGTTTTGATAACTTTATGGGGGACATGTGAAAAGCCCGGTCTTTCTCCCGCACAGCTGCTGCTGTTTCAAACTGCAACCCAACACATAACCAGCCACAAGGCTGCCAGGGCTCCAAAAGAGCCGCAGGTAAGAGGAGCCAAAGGATCCATTCTAAGGACTTCCTTGAAAGAGCTTTTCTTTGATGGCGACCTCACAGAGTATTTCCTGTAGCCAGGAACCGTGCTCTCTTCCGTAATGGACCCAGTGCTAGTAGGGCATTCTCTATTCCGGTGTGTCCTAAGAAGGTGAGCAGAAATGCCCAGATATTTTAAATTATGAGCACATTAAGCTGATTATTACTCAAAGGATTTTGTTTTGCTTTGTTTCTCATGCATGTGTGATGGTATAAGTCACTAAGACATAATTTCAAATGTAGGTGGTAGGTACTGACCAAGTGGACTGTTCCCTAGGCATTTTTTGTCGACCACAATTCCCGTGCCACCACCTTCATCGACCCTCGGCTCCCCCTACAGAGCAGTAGACCCACAAGCGCGCTCGTTCATCGGCAACACTTGACCAGGCAACGCAGCCACAGTGCAGGCGAGGTGAGTCTCAGGTCGTCAGGACTGTCCTGTGGGCTTACATAAGCTGTGCTGATATGATGACTTGTGGGATTGGATTGCCTTTTTTGTTGGTGCTTGGCTTGTTTGCTTGTTTTGATTTCCCCCAGTTTGGTAGAGCGATTAGCATTGGAAGGCTGAAAAGCTTTGAAATGTTAACAGGCAGTTTCTGGAAATACATACAACTTTAATGACAAATTTCAAATAGGACCTGGAGGAACGATTGAAGATATTAGGGATTTCTCTTAACTTAGAGGAAGGTGAGAGAAATCATAATGTCATGTAAATTGTGTTGAAGAGAGGATGCGGATAAGCCAAGAACAGCTTCTCAGGAAGAAATGAATACAGCTTTTGGTGGGTTAAATTTAACTATATGGCAGAGTTTTCCAAGTGTTGTTGCTGAATTAATTAAAATCTTTTGGCAGGATTATGAGGTTGTAGAATTCTTACTCATTTTCTTTAAAAGCAGGATAAGAGAGTTAATTTACATGCTGTAAACACCAAGAGAAAATAGACTGAATGAAGAATCACTAAAAACTCTACTAAGCAGCCCTGGTTCTGCTCTGGGTTCTTGCTGACTGCGAGGTCGGAGGTTCAAACGTACCAGTTGCCTAGCAGGAGAAAGACGAGGCTTTCTGCTTCCATCAAGCTGTACAGTCTCAGAAACTCGGTATCAGGTGGCTAGGAGTCTTAATCAACTCCATAGCTGTGGATTAAAAGAAAACTCAACTGTGCTTCCCTTTGCCAGTTTGCAGTAGCCCGTGGTAACCACAGGAGGGCTCTGGAATATATATATTCTAACGACAACAATAACAACAAAACTCTTTCCTATTTCACGCTTTCCTTTAAGAGCCTAAAGCAGGGGTCCTCAAGCTTTTTAAACAGGGGGCCAGTTCACTGTCCCTCAGACCCGTTGGAGGGCCGGACTATAGTTTAAAAAAAACTATGAACAAATTCCTATGCACACTGCACATATCTTATTTTAAAGTAAAAAAACAAAAAGGGCAAAAACACCTGGCGGGCCGGATAAATGTCCTCGGTGGGCCACGTGTGGCCCATGGGCCATCGTTTGAGGATGCCTGGCCTAAAGGAATGTTTTAGGTTACTCCGCCCTCCCCCCTCCGTTCCTTAATGTGGGCTTACCCTTTATGTGTCTATCATCATTTTATGTACATTTTCATTAAAAATCCCCTTAGATAAATAGGATTAAAATTCTTCTCGTGCATGCTTTTCCAGTGTCTGCGCGGATCCTGGGTTAGGTGCTCGAGAGGAAGACAAATGTTTGGGGCCTGTATGATAAGGCGCAAAGATTAGGACTGCAACAATCACTGATTGGATTCATCAGAATTCCACTCTTGGAATTTCCCCTCATGATTGTAAAAGTGTTCCAATGAGCCTTGTGTGTTTGCTGGTTGCTAGGGACAGTCATAGAAGACTATGCCTGAGAAGCTCCCATAAAAATGATATAGAAGTCTATTGCAGGATGAGGTATGCAAAACTATGCATGTTTTATGAGTAGCTAATAAATCTCTACCTTGCTGTCCAGGTAAACAATTAGTTCTGGCCGGGATGATGCAGCAGCATTCATCTGCCAGTAGAACAGACCTCTCACCTTTGGACCTGATGGGCGATAGGGAGCATAATTAGTGCCCTGGGGGCTTTATCTCATGCCACTGCACTTTGGCCACTTGCCTTATCTTGACTTAACAGTATAAAGATGGAAGGGCTAGTCAGGAAGATTATATCAGGGAAAACATGAGTGAGATTTACAGCTGTACTTACATTTTCTCTCAACCCCTCCACCTCAAGCATGAGTTACTTTCATGGTCAAGTGGTAGCCGGCTGTGGGAGAGGGACCCTAAGATAAACATTGAAATCCGAATGAGGAAACCTCCTCCCACACATTAATGGAAACAGCTCAGTGGAACAGGGAGAACCCCATCAGGAGTCGGCGGCCAGCTGCAGCACGGTTAGCCCTCGAGGGGAGAGCACTTTTGGACACAGCTGTTGAAATCATGCACACCTGACCTCACCCCTCATACTTAGCCGGGTGCCTATGTCTGCTGGTCGGATTTGAAGAAGTGAGCTCGAAGGAGAAGCTCTTCCAATGTTCGAGGAAGGGACGACGCATTGCAGCACCCTGACAGAAAGATATATGTTGGTGTATTGAACTGATAAGTCCACTGACTGACAAAGGATTAACTAACGTTTGAGCCTCCCCAGAGAGTGATGGTCCTCATTGCTCAAGAGAAGAGAGAAAACTCCCTCTTCCAAACAGAAGTCTTTCCAGGAAGTACTCCAATTAGTAGAAGTTAGGGTGTCGCTTCTATCCAACAAATTAATATTTACCCAGTACCTCTGATGTGAAAAGTCAGGAGCTTCTGGTGGCATCGTGGGTTATGAGTTGGACTGTAAGGTCACAAGACCAAGAGTTCAAATCCACCAGCCCCTCCCCTCAAGAATGATGAAGCATCCCACGTCATAAAGATTTACAAGCTCAGAAAACCAGAGGCAGCTCAACTCTTTCCTTCAGGGTCTCTATGAGTCAGGACCGATTGGATGGCAGTGAGTTTTGAGGGTTTTTTAAGTACAAGGTGAAAACATCCTGGTTAGTAGGAGAGATACAAATAAGTGGAACATATGGAAGTACCCATAATACATGTGAATAAAAATCTAATGAAAAATGTTTGTAACAGTCGTGGCTTTAGAAATACACACCAAGGGCTGTAGGAGTTTATTGGATGTCGCCTTTAACTCCAGCTTGAAGGAAAGGAGCGAGTTCACCGAGGAGCTACTATCTGAGCCAAGCTTTGAAGAAGAGTGGGAGCCTTTGGAAGGATACACAGGTGGTACAGGGTGAGGCTGTTTCCAGTTCTAGGACCTGTAGACTAATCCTAAGTGACACTAGTACAGGGTGAGACTGTTTCTGGTTTTAGGACCTTTAGACGAATCCTAAGTGAAGAGCTGCGATGCAGTGGCGACGAAGGATCCAGTGAGCCGGAGGAGAAACTCCATTTTGTATGTTATTCTTATTTTAAGTTTTTAGCGTACTATTTTGACTTTGATTCTCTTCCAAGACTGATTTTTTTACACCACTCTTTTACTCTTGTCTTAAGAGATTTCTGTAATATGGAGGAAAGAAAAACTAAAACAGAAGCAAAAACAATGTTAGATTTTTCTAATGAGAATATCGGGTAATTTTGGTTGTCTCTGTATGTACGAGGTTCTAAATCTACAATAGATGCAATAAATAAATAAATAAATAAATCAGGTTTACGTACTTAACTCCTCCACCTGCTGCTATGAGCTCTCTGGCGTGGGAGGGTCAAACCAGAAAGAGCTGTAGTACCTGGTGCTCTAATAGCACCCATAAATACTTCTGAGGACAGACTGCCCTAACCGAGAAACCCACACGGAGCCTGCTCTCCTTCCACACGTCCTATGCGGAGGCTGGGGATTCCCTGGCCTGCCAGGCCTGAAAGAAGGGCTGCCCCAGCGCTGCTCACTCCCTGCCGCCCATGGCCCCAGTTCTCCCCTTTGATGATGTTATTGCAGATTTGTATTCTGCCCATGCAGAAGTTATTCCTGATGAACAGGTCTGCTCGATAGCTGATGGCTGTTACAATGCTAGTAATTGCAAACCTAGAGAACTACTTCTGCACCACTTGATAAATAGCCACTACCCTGGCCCCTCCACTGAGCTCAACAACTAAAGCAGTGCTGCCCAGAGAACTTTTTTCCGCTCCACAGGTGGTGTCTGCCCTGCTAGGTTGGTACTTGCCATGCGCATTGTTAAGTACTTTCAACTACTTGGTTGGAGGTGCAGACACAGAGCCTTCCGAGTTCTGGCTGCAGAGCATAACTGATGCTTGTATTTGCAGGTAGGAGAAGACTCCCGGCACGCAGGACCACCGGTTCTTCCCAGGCCGTCGAGTACGTTCAACACAGTCAGTAGGCCACAGTACCAGGACATGGTTCCCGTGGGTATGTCACCTCCTTCCAGGAATTCTTGCTCTTTGCTGGTCATGTCAATGTATCCTTGCATACTATGCCACCTTCCTGTTGTCAGCCTGTGACTTTTTGCCCTCTATTTTAAAACTGGCATCCTTTAAAAAAATTTGGAACAACATTTTGGAAACTCAAATCTCAAGGCTTATGATTAGCCAGCATTTTCTCGACTACCTTTCATGAGTAGAGGTAGGAGATTGTTGAAGTCGAGGAAGAATCATTCTTGAAAATATTTTCATCATGTGTGTGATCGTTATAAATTAAGCTTTTGAACAAGCATGTCTTTAATGAGACAGAATTGAAATGGCGTGTGAGTCGACAAGGGAGGATGGCAGTCTTAAGGGAATTTGTTACAAAAGAGGGCATCAAGAGCCTCAAAAACAGTGGAATGGACAACCATGGGAAGATGGGCCCAAAGAAGAATTTGAGTAGTGACTAGAATGATCAAGCCAAAGGTGATCAATCGTTTTCACCCTGGAGCCCTTGGGCAGGGAGAGTAGACAGATCAGCCGGGGAGAGTGCTTGTTCTGGAGCTGCAGAACTTTCCATTTATCGATTTTGTTTTGAAATTTTTACTTAAAAACAAGACAAAAAACTGGTAGGTCCATGAGCTGTAATGTCAGGTCTGTAGCTTGATGACATTGAAAAACCACTAGATAAAGACATTTCTAGGGTTGAAGTCTAACCATCTATATTTAATTATACCACTAATAATAAGATACTAGGTATTGCACAGAGAATTTTAAAGCACTATAAAAATCCTTGCTTAAGGACTTATCCAGTCTCTGCTCTTGGATGAAAATAACCCCATTAACAAGATTTCAGTTATAAACATGTTTTCATTACTCACTTTAGCAAGATGGAGTGTGATTTGGGTTACATTTGAGTTTCCAATGAGAATCTGTGCTAACAGAAGGTTTCTTTTGTTGGTTTGAAAGAATATTTTGTTCAATATCTAACTAAAATGTATGTATATATAAATAGCATAGAACAACTGAAAATTGGAACTGGTAACTATCTATGGCATTTTATTTGTTTGATCATTTGTTAAGGTGCCCTAGTGGTGCAACCATTAAGCACCCACCTGCTAATTGAAAGTCAGCAGTCAAACCAACCCAGGGGCTTTGTGGGAGAAAGGGCCAGCCATCCACTCCCGTAAAGATTACGGCTTGGAACACTCTGTGGGACATCTCTCATATGGGGTCTGTATGAGTTAAAGTTCACTTTGACTTGACCGCACCTAACAACGATTATTTTTTAATTCAAGAAGACATGGATCTTGATAACATGCACTCATAAATGCAGAAGTGCTGACTAGACTAATCTCCCTGAAATGTGAGCATCCAGACACTTAGTCTTACATTTTCACGGATGTCCCATTATAAGGATGTTCCTAGTGGGGTATACATTCACCATGAGCCAATAGCAGTGAGCTTGGAGTGTGGAGTGGGGTGATGGGTTGTGCATTGTGCTGCTAACCACAAGGTCAGCAGTTTGAAACCACCAGCCGTTCCTCAGGAGAAAGACCAGTCAAGATTTACGGTCTCAGAAACCCCCACGGGCAGTTCTGCGCTGCTCTGTAGGCTCACTATGAGTCGGAATCCGCTCAATAGCCCTGAGTGCTGACGGTTTATGATTGATGAATAATGCCATCAAAAATGAATCACCTTAAGGGAGAAAATTTGTTTTCTTGGCAAAAGATGTGTTAGTAAGACCGTAACAAATTTTAATCACCTGGTTTAACATTTTAAGAGACACTAGCCATTATTGACTAGAACATAAATTTTTTTAGACATAAATTGTGCATAGTTGGTGATACAGATTATAATCGATGGCAGCTATTGGTCTAATCGGTTTGGTGAAGAACTCTGCATAGCTTGTGTTTGTTATTGTGGCCAGGTGACATGGGGTCTGCTCTCAGACTCACAGCAGCCCTGGCCCAACAACAGTCACTGTTGCCCAGTTCCCACCATCTACATAGTCATGCTAGACTTGAGCTCATTGCTACAGCCACTGCATCACACTAGCTCGTGGAAAGTCTGCCTCTTTATTACTAACGCTGTGCTTTACAAAGCATGATGTCCTTCAGGAGCTGGCCCTCCTGATAATATGAATGGCTTCCACATAGAATTTGAAATGGGTTATCCTCTATTTTGGCGATAGTAGTTGATGGCAATTATTGCATTTGGTGACTCTGGCTTTATTACTTTACCTCTCTGGCTGACTGACATTTGGTCAAAAGATAATTTCCCATTTTTGGTAATTGCTTGTGAAGTTAATTTTTGATAAGCAGTTGCTGACCATGATCAATATTGAGAATCTTGTTGGTGCTTTCATATTGCAATTAATAATATATTTGGCTCATCGAGTCTAGACAAAATACTTATGTAAGAGACATGTAGCAGATCTAAGTTTTAAAAAAAATCACATAACTAACTAGACACATTGAAATTTAACGATTGATATGCAGAAGAAGCCCGGGCAGTATAGTTGCTTACACATTGAGGTGTTAACCACAGGTCTGCAGTTCAAACCCACCAGCTGCTCCTCAGGAGAAAGATGAGGCTACCTGCTCCCATCAGTGTTGCAGCCCGGGAATCCAGAGGAACAAATCTACTATATTTGATTCGGGTCACTACAAGCCTGCATCAACGTGATGGTTGTGGGTATAGTGGGTTTAAACTGTGTCTCGGAGTACAAGACATGTTAACCAGGAAAATGGTATTTGTTACATATAACAAATATAGTCCTGTACATAATACTAATAATGGATTTTTTTAATTTTCTAAATATATTATTCTCTGGTTGACATTTTCAGCTTACAATGACAAGATTGTTGCATTTCTACGTCAACCCAATATCTTTGAAATTCTACAGGAGCGTCAACCTGATCTTACCAGGAACCACTCACTCAGGTAACCCTCATATTGGTATTTAGTTCAAGTTGCATTCGCCCAAACATTAAATCTTCAGTAACACTGCTAATCGTCTTGGAAACTCATCCTTTCTCTCTGGGATTACATATGAAAGCATCTTGTGCATAAATGTCTTATGTCATCCACACCAGATCATCTTAGTCCTGGCTTCTCTTTATTAAGTGTGAGAGTTAAATAAGATCAGCTATGCATCCAAACTATACAACCTCCTTCCAAAGAGAATTACGAAGAAGAAACAGAAGTTTACAGCCAAGAATGTGTCCCAGCAGTGCAGATTCTGATGAAAGGGGTAAGACACTAAGCTTTGTGAGGGTAGCTTAAAGAAATGAAAATAACATTGAGTTTAGTGAGTTGGAATTTCTAAAATCCTAGACTTGATGCTGACTTTTTTTCCATAATAAAGACCTCATGGAACCCAAGGAGGGAATGTGACCCTCTTCACAGTCTGGCATTGCCTCGAGTGAACCTTCTCTTCTAAACAGTTTCCAATGTGTCCTGCTTTGAACCCAGTTTGACTTAACCAACTACATGCTGTTCCTCTTTGGCAAACTTTTCCAAATCTGGCAAGAGAAATCTTCTTTAAAACCCGGAGGCAGACTCCTCTTCCTTGATTGATGCCTTTCAACAGCATCAGTTTCTTTCTCTCTCGTGATCTAGGACAATAGTTCTCAGTCCCCATGTGCTGGTCATCAGCAGTGATGGAAAATTTGAAGATGCCCCTGGAAAACATACATAGTCCATTCGGTCCCCTTTGCTACCAAGCATATGTTTGTCCCAGGGTGCCGTTCTGGTCCACAGCAGTGATGTCAAACACGGATCCGCTCTGCTGCATTAAGGGAGGTTTTATCGGCGTTGCCAAGGAGATTAATAAAATCTCCAGGTCTGGCCTCTCTGCTCTCTTCAATCTCTGGACTTGCACCCACATCATGTGGAATAAGTATGGTTATTCAAAAATGCCAACAAGGGCATCCTTTAACTCTGTGAACAGGTCTGCTCGGTCCCATGGGGCCACTGTGGGTAGGGGACTGACGTGACAGCCCCCAAGAACAGCAGCTAAGGCTAAAGCTGTACAGAATGTTCAAGAGTGTCACAGGTGCTGCAAGTATTACTCAAACCAAGTCCCAGCTCCGCCAGCTTCCCACCTACCACCATCTCAGCGCGGTCTCCAACACAGGCATGCTGCGGTCATTTTAACCTGGGGCGTCCACTCAGAAACCCACAGTCCCCCAAAGAACCTCAAGTCCGAAGTTAATAAAGCTACGTAAAAGAGGGGCTGGGGAAAAAAGAAAAGGGAAAAAAAGCTACAGAAAAGAGGAGTCTCAGAGACCCTGGGCCGCCGAGTAAAATGAAGACACACAAAGCTCTCCTGTTTTGCTAAATCACAAAATAAGGAGAATTCCATGTTCTCCTTCTTCTGCCAATTCCACTCCCAATACAACCAAACCAAAAGACAGAAAAGAAAATTAACTGACCAGTGATTCAGTTCTGACTCAGAGCAACCCTATCGGGCAGAGTAGGATTGCATCTTTGAATTTTTGAGGCTGTAAATCTTTACTGGAATTCAAGTCAATGTTTGTTCTTCTACACACACACACACACACACACACACACACACACACACAACCAAAAAACCAAACAGAACAAAGGGAAGACAATTTTTCTACTTCTTGTCTGCACTCTGTTGTAACTTAAACCAGTGAGCCTGTCTTCAAGTCTCCACCATCAGAGGTAAGAGCAGAGCATATGCAAGATCATTCGTCAGTGTCTTCACAGAACCTTTATAGACCCTAACAGGGGAGAAAGTTACAGACCACCATCGGGGTCTTGTCATTTGTTTCCCTTCCCTTCCCTTCTCTCTCTCATCGGTCAAGTCTCTGGTTTAAATATTGGTGAAGATGGTACTTTTTAGTGAAGCCCATGGTCCCTGGTTAAGCACAATCTCCCTTATAACATGGCTGTCTCATGGTGATCTTTAGCTAATCAATGATTTTATAGGCTTTGAAATGTATTTCTGTCTACTTATACCTTAACAGTTGACAGAATTTGGCCGCAGAAAGCGTAGGCGGCAACGACAACTAAGGGAAGCAGGAACTTAAATCAGTGAGATAATGCTGTTCCTTTTACCCAGAATGTATGTCACAGAGCGCTCTTTCTCCAGTCTTGGGTAGTTATGCATTTTGCTTACCATAACAACGTGAAAGGGAAGTTCATAATTCTAAGAGAACATTCTGTTTCACAGAGTTAAAAACTGCATTGTCAGGAGCATTCCCACAAGCTCAGAGATGGGGAATCAGCTGGGGTTCTTTAATCTCAGGTTTCAGTGGGTTTTTTTATAGCAAATTTATTTATGCATAGAACAGAGCCACTGAGTAATTTGTATATCAGAGGTGATCGTGGACTTTCTCTTGCTCTCTGGAGTAAGGGTTCTCAATACCAGTGTACTTCCTACACATTCTGCTTTACCCATGGCTCAGCTACTGAGGAGAAATACCCCTTCTTGTTTTGTCTCGGATATAATGATGAAGTAAGTGGTAGCCCTTGGAAGATTCGAGTAGGTTAAATCTTTGCTTTGTATGTTGCTTGTGATTCTTCCTTAACCCACATTGGGATCTCTACTTGAGTCTGTCTCTTCCTGTAGAATGCACGCGATGTGCCATGCCGTGGGTATGGCTTTACTTCCGCTCACTCCGTGTGCCCACAAACTCTTTCTTTTGTTGTTGCTGTTGTTTAATCTCTGAGGCAACCCATTTCCTCAGTGGGGAGAATCAGTATCTGAGTCAGTACACCCTCCGTCAAAGCAGTGACAGCCTCATTTGCATCGCAGTGCCCTCCTTCTGCTTCTTGCCGAAATACAGCCCTCAGACGAAGGCACGAAGCGAGACCGCTGTGGCACTGAAATGACAGATAAACCGAATGCCCCGTGTTTCATCCAGGCAAAGGCAAATACATTGATCACATGCAACCGTTCACGAATACTTTATTAGTGAGAGTAAAGCATACAAATGCAACAGGATTTTTAGTATCGGTTTTATACAGCACTGTATTTTTTAAAAAGATCGAAGAAAAACTAAGAGACATTTGTGTGATTAAGTCCAACCAGTAAATCTCTTCCCTCACCTAACCTAGCTCTCCCTGGTATCCCAAACCAAACCCCAAACCCACTGCTTATCAAATCAATTCCAATGTTAGGGACCTTGTAGGACAGAACAGAATTACCCCTTTGGGTTTCTGAGTCTGTGGATCTCTAAGGTAGCAGAAAGCCTGCTCTTTCTCCTGCAGAGCTAGTGGTGGATTTGAACTGCTGACCTGACAGTTATCAGCCCCCAGACCTCCTCGTGCCAGTGATCCTTACTTAGGACATCCTACTCTTTCCACCCTGAGTGATCCCCATACAAATTTCCTCCCCATGTAGATAGGATCTGGGCAAATCAAGCCATTCTAAGTTTCATAGGATCAGTAAATCAGTAACTTGGAAATAAACTCTAAGTCACAAAGGCAGATCTGTGTCTCAGGATTCACCAGAACAGAAGTACATGCAGACTCTGGCCTTTTATGTTATTTCATTAATTCTTCATATTGTCCTATTCAAAGAGCCCAGGGCTTTGTTATTGTTTAATATTACTCTTATATTTTGATATTTTAAAAGTAATACTTGCTTACTGTGCAGTGATCAAACAATATAGAAGCTTATGAAGTGGAAAGTTAAAGTTTCCAAATGCTGACCTTCATAAAACAAATCTCACTGTCTAAAATTGATAACTCACCTGTTTTTTATTCAGCATGCTAGCCAGGCTGGAAACATTATCAGTCCACATCTAAGTGACTTGGTCAGAATTACAAAGCATTTACCTCTGCTTGTGCCTTTTCCTGTTCAGGCTTGCCTGGCTCTCCCCTCTGCCTCTCCTATGTTGTTTACTGCATATTCAGTAAGCTCCTCACACGGCTGGAGCCAAAATGTCAAACTTAGGTTTTTTATTGTGCCAAACTTAAATAACAGATACTCTGGTCCAGGATAATTGTTTTCCTATAAACCGTTTATATAGCTGTAATTATTCAATTCCTTAAGCCAGCTGATTAAAATGGCTATTGCCACCACCTAATAAGGGCCACCTAATCAGGGTCAACACACTAGCAGTGAGGTTTTTGAAAGCTAGAGCATAGATCTTACGCATTTGGGTTTGGAGTCAGGCAGAGCGAGGTGTGAATTCTGACCCTGCAGTTTACTCTCCAGGTGACTTTGAGGGAGACACTTAACCTCTCCAAGTCATGATTCTCACCTCTAGATAGTAGGGAGAGGAATTTTTAACTGGAAGCCTCCTTTTTATGAGTAAACAAATGTGTGCTTAAAGTCTTTGGCACCGTTCTGGCTTGGTAACCATGTTTTGTTGTTAGCTGCCTTCAGGTTGACCCCTGACAGAGTGACCCCATGGCACAATGGGGCGCAACACTGCTGCCTATGCCCACCCCCACCCCCGTGATCCACTAAAAACCAGAACATTGTGATCTACAGGGATTTCACTGGCTGATTTCAGAAGTAAATCACTAAGTCTTTCTGACCAGATCATCTTTGTCTGGAACCTGCTCTAAATGTGTCTATCACAAGTGGTAGCTGGGCATGAGCAACATTGGCCAGGAATCGAGCCTGGCTCTCCTGCAAGGAAAGCAAGAATTCTACCACAGAGCATGGTCACCAGACAGTAATTCAAATGAATTTATTAGTGGTCTGACCTTCACTTCTCTGTTATATCACAAGCATGCAGTCTGAAGTAATTTACCCCTAGGGCCCTCAAGAAGAAATTCCATAGCCAAAATTAGATGGGCCCTTTTTGTGTGTGTCATCCTATGTAGGTGTTTTTTCTTACTGATGTAGTTTCCTGATTTAACTGTGAGAGAGTCTTTAACTTTTTAAGATGTTCATCCACTGAGTATGTCTCTAAGACATTTTACTTTCTTGCTAACAAATGCTTCGGCCAGTACATTCACACTGTTTCCCACATGAGGAACACTCATGTTTTAGTCAGTATCTGCTATGTTCTGCTGCATTGACTAAGAGAGTAAAATGTCCTTCATCAGGCTTGGGCTGATCAAGGATCGAAGCAAATGATCAGTACTGGATCTGGCCTCGCTGCCTGCTCTAAATATAAAAGAACGAGATAGTCTTTTTTTTTTTCATTGTAGAGCACAATGAATTTTCATTTATGACAGTACACATGCTTCGAATGAAACCTGCTTTCTAAAATCTCTTTAGACAAATTTCTAAGTCATTAAAAAATTGGAATCATTTCAAATAAAGTCAACGAAATAAACATTCCTTCTGTATTAATAATGCATTTTTTCTTTTTATCTCTACCAATGGATTTAACTAGTAGTGGAAATTGGTTTTAGAAAAAGTTATATGGTATCACCATTGCTAAAACTAACCTCAATTTATTTTATGCACACTCCTTCATGCAACTAGACCTGTTATATAACCTGCGTTACTCAGCCCCGTTTCTTGAAGGATTTCAGGAAAAAACACCCTGGAGACGCTATGCCTGACTTTTATATTTAACAATAGACATGGCATAAGAAGCCCTGATAGTGCAGTAGTTACATCCTTGGCTGCCAGCAGGGAGATTGGCATTTTGAACCCACCAACCAGCCACCCCACCAGAGAAAAATGTGGCAGTCTGCTTCCGTGACCATGACCGTGTTGGAAACCCTGTGAAACACTGTCCTGTCGGGTACCTATGGATCAGAACCAACTTGACAATAATGATGTTTGTTTGTTTGCTTGGACACTGAAAATATTTCCACATATCTTACATTTGGCTACTATATTTATTGTTATATATTTATATTCCAAATAGAGTGTTTGCTATATGAAGTTTGGGTCTATATCTTATTCACATTTTAAATTCCCATAGGCCTTCCCATCTTAAATTGTAAAGAGTGGGTATTGGATAAATATTTGTAAAACCAGTCACTTAATAGACAATATATTTTGGAAGTAATGTTAACACTTGAAACTATTTATCCAAGCTGACATTTCCAATACACAGAAGGACATATGTAATACAGCAATTTCTATAGCTTTGAACATTTCAATGGGTCATTTTGTTTGTAAATGGTTTTGGATGTAATTCAAATATTCAGTTCTTCCTACTCCATAATTATGTTTTACTCCTATTCAGTCTTTTCATTTCTTATAATAAAATTTATTTTAATAACATTTGTTTTCTTTACGTGGGAAATAAAAATTACCTGTCTAGGTTTTCCCTAAGTATTTTGTATTTGTTTATTTTTTTATCTTGTAAACTTTTTTATCTTCTAAACTATAGCTACCAAATAGAGAAAGCTACTAGGTTTTGTAGTACTAGTTTTTGGAAGTTGCTTGTTTTGGGGTTTTTTGACATTTTGTATCGCATATTGGAAAATATTCGTTATCTTTACTTATCCCTTTATGCACTATTAACTAGCTTGTTTATTCTAATTGCTTTACAGTAACTAATCTCTTTTTTGGTATATATATTTAAAAATAAGACTTCAGGAAGATATCACATGGTTTCAGTTCCTGGATGTATTTTCAGTTAAACCTCCTGGTAACAAATGCATAATTAAGTATTCTAACTGATAACAAAATGCAAACATTTAAAACTACTCATAAACCAAATGCTAGTTATATATTTCAGTCTGTCCTAGATATCATTTCTTCAGCATAATGATGGGCTTTGGGTGAAGCTCTAAAATGCCTTAAGTAAGGTGTCTTAAAACAAGATATTTTTGTGTGTAAAACCTAAATTCTTTCTTTAAAGTCCAAAATGGATGTACTTTATAGAGAAATTTTCTTTATTGAGATTCATGTTTCTCTTTATTAATTCATAGGCAAATAAAACTCTATACATGAATTATCTCTTGGGTACTCAAAGCACTATTCAGCTTTATGCTGTTTTATCTAGTGTATATCACAGGATAGCTATAAATACTTGTACAGCAAAACAAGTTATACATTATTAAATAACAACATATCTGCAACCAATACAAAAACAGAAAGTAGAATCTGCCACGAGACACCTCATTTGACTCTATTATCAGTGGCTCACACTGTTTATTGAAAAGGGGAATACATATCTTTAAGGCTTTAGGGGCATAAGAGTTAAATGCTTGGCAGCTCCCTGAAAGACGGCCAGGGCAGACCTGCTCGGTGGCACCATGTAGGAAAGGCCTGGCTCTCTTCTTCTGTAAAGACTCTTACAGTTAGGTGTCCTGGAGCCACTTGTAACCCACAGCAACGCCCTGTAGAACAGAATGTAAGTAACAATGCCCAGGCCTGTGCCGTCATCAGAATCATTGTGATGTTCGATCCCATTGTTGCAGTCATTGTGTCCGGTCATCTCGCTTGAGGGTCTTCCTTAATCCCTCTGACCTTCTGCTTTGGAATTCCCTCCCCCTCTGTTTTACTGAGCAGGATGCCCTTCTCCAAGGAGGAGCCCTTCTCCAAGGAGGAGCCCTTCTCCAAGGAGGAGCCCTTGATGACACCTCACACCACATGCAGTGTAATCTCACCACCCTCACTTCTAGCAAGCATCCTGCCTCTGCTGTCCACGGTACAGTCACTGTTCTTTACCAGCACCATCTTTCAAAGGCATCATCTCTTCTTGAGACTTCCTTATTCATTGTTCAGCCTTCACGGCCCTTCGGAGGGGATCAGTGTTGCCAGGGCGTGGCCGAAGAAACCCTCGAACTCCAGAGCTTCTGCTCTGTCACACGAGATTGCTCAGTGGGAATCAGTGACCACAGCATGGAATAATATGCTCCCTAGCTAAGATTAGGGAGTACTTCCTACATAATAATCTCCATGCTAAGTTTTTATTTGAATTCTTTCATTTAATCCTTCCCACAGCTCTGGAGGTAGAACTGTGCTTACTTCCAAGCTGAGAAAATAGACAAGGAGAGTTACGTCACTCTCTCAGTTCCTCTGCCATCTTCTCCATGTTCTCCCATGCGAGGAGACGAGTCTTTCTCTGTGGGCACGGAAATGTGGTGTGGTCTTTAGTCAGCCTGGCTGAGATACGCCTCATTCAAGGCACTTCTGCATTTCAGAAAAATCACCTGACCTGAAGTGACCTACACTTCCAACTCTGAACTACAAAGAGAGAAAGGTCAGCTTTTCCCTGTTCAGCTCTATTTGAAGTCAGACCATGGCTCCTGACTGCAATGATGGCGAATGATCACTGCCAATTGTGCTTTCTTGACATGTTGCCAATAGAGAAGGCTATTTCAAGTCTATTTCTCTACAACTGTCCTAAAGCTGTTCTTTGAGGGGAAAAATCAAACTGAAAAGCCTTGAAGCATGTGTGAAGGTGCTACTGAACGGTGGAGGCAGCGCTGTGTGTATGTCAGTCTGCCATCCAGCGAGTCTTGTGGTTTCGAGGCTGCTGCTTCTCCTTTGTTTCTTTAACTTCAACACAATCTCCGTTGGTCTCGGCGAGAGTGTTTTTCCGTGGGAATTCTGGTCTGAGACTTTGTGCATTGTCCTCAAATGATCTTCTGCTGGAGCTGATCTTGGGGGATTCTCCATGCTGGAGGAAGTGGTAGCAACTTTTCCCTACAGTTATTGCTGTACTATTTAGCATTTTGTTGCAAAAGCTTGGGTGGTGTAATGGTTACAAGTTGGGATACAATCTGCATGGTCAGCAGTCCGAGACCATCAGCAGCTCTGCGGAAAAAAGACTGGGCTTTCCGCTCTGGTACAGTCACGGTTTTGGAAACCCACAGGGGGTCACTAGGAGACAGCATTGACCTGAAGGCCGGGAGTTGTGTTTTTACTTTGTTGGGGTTTTTTGCAGTCGTGTTGAGTTTACTTATTAAGAGATTGCCTCTCCGCCTGTCTGCACTTTCCTCAGTAGATACCTGTTGTAGCAAACAAGCCGATTTCACATTTCAGCTTCTCTTTTTATTTCTGGGCCACAAAAAGAAGCGATGGCAAGATTGTTTATTCCACGCACTACTGAACGGACTCCTGTGAAGATTGGTTAGCTGTCAAATTTGTTCGTTTGGCCTTACCTGGTCATGCACCTGGTGTATATTTTATGAAATGTGCGTTGTACACACAGCACAACCTACATACTTGGGAACAAAAAGGGAAAGGTAAATTCATATTTCAGAAGGGATTGCATTCCCAAGTGACTTTGTTGGAAGGTGCAAATGTAGGCATTTTAGACCTACTCTATGGGCGAGAACCCATGCACATATAAGAAATGCGATTTGAACATAGCCATCTCCATTGTCCTCATTGCTCTCGGATTGATTCATGGTGACCGTATAAGACAGGGTGCAGCTGTCTCCTGGGGGCTCCAAGGCTGGCATCCTGATGGAAGTGGCCTGCCACATCTTTTTTTGTGGCCCGGCTGGTGGTTTGGGGCGATGGACCTGTTTGCGAGCAGTTACTGCTTTAACTGCCACACGCAGTGCTCCTAATCTTCACGGTAAGAAGCTGAAATGGCGTGAAATTTCTTCACTCAGGAGAAGGAAATAGGGAAGGGATTTAAGGGTCTGCTGCAGAGTTTTGTCTTCCTTGATTTGACTCGACTCATTTGATTTGCATCGAGTAGCCCTTCCCGTACGTTTTTGGCATTATTATTTTTATTTTTAAAAAATACTAGATTTTGGTTCAGTCGGGTCCCGGCAGCAGCTGCAGCGGCTCCAATCTTCTCAGCCTCTCTTTGCCATACTCTTCTCTCTTCCGGAAACATGGCCTCTGGTGTGGCTGTCTCCGATGGTGTCATCAAGATGTTCAATGACATGAAGGTGCGCAAATCCTCGACACCGGAGGAGGTCAAGAAGCGCAAGAAGGCTGTGCTTTTCTGCCTGAGCGAGGACAAGAAGAACATCATCCTCGAGGAGGGCAAGGCGATCCTGGTTGGGGATGTGGGCCAGACTGTGGACAACCCCTACGCCACCTTTGTCAAGATGCTGCCTGACAAGGACTGCCGCTATGCTCTGTATGATGCCACCTACGAGACCAAGGAGAGCAAGGAGGAGGACCTGGCGTTCATCTTCTGGGCCCCCGAGTGTGCACCCCTTAAGAGCAAAATGATCTACGCCAGCTCCAGGGATGCCATCAAGAAGAAGCTGACGGGAATCAAACACGAATTACAAGCAAACTGCTACAAGGAGGTTAAGGACCACTGAACCCTGGCCGAGAAGCTGGGGGGCAGCGCCGTCATCTCCCTGGAGGGCAAGCCCTTGTGAGCCCCCTCCACCCCTGCCAGGAGCATTCGGCAGCCCCAGACCTGCCCGCGGGGGCTGCAGGCTGCCCCATTCCTGCCAGACCGGAGAGACTGGGGGGACCCCAGCAGGGGGAGGGCAATCCCTTCACCCCCAGTTGCCAAACAGACCCCCACCCCACCCCCTGGACCAACCCACCTCCCTTCTGACGGCTTTGGCCTTCCCAAATGGCTTCTGATCTTTGATTCCTCTGTTGAAACAGACCAAGTCCCCACCCCCCCCCCCAAGAACCATAGTTGGGGAAGGGGGCTGTATTTTTTTAAACGACCACTCCCCACCCCCCTTTTTTCCAGGCTGCCAACTTCTAACTGCAGTAGTGAGTCTGTGCTTGTTTATTTAGTACTGTGTGTTAAGGGGAAAATTAAGACGACCCTCCCTGTTCCAGGCCCCCCCCCCCACACAGACAGCCACTTGTTTGGGCCTACAAGGAACCTTCAATTAAAAAAAAAAAGAAGAAAATTTTAAAAATACTAGATTTTTACCTATGGCTTTATTGTTTTTGATGAGACAATTTGTTTAATAAAAACCAAATCAATTCTGACTCAGAGTGACCTATAAGACATATAAGCCATAGGGTTTCCAAGACTATAGATCTTTACTGAAGCACGCTAACACGCCTTTCTGTAGAAGCAGTCGGTGAGTTCAAACCACCCGCCTTTTGATGATCAGTCAAGCGATTTTACCACTGCACCAAGTCTTCTTAATTATTTAATAATGCACCCCTAAATAGAATAATGAGGAAAATAAATACCATTGAATGCATCCTGTAATAGTGAATTTTATCACATTTTCTCTCTTCAAGCTATTCTAAAACCTTTGTTCCTAGAATAAGCCATGATATTATTTACCCTTTGCCTATTTTTTCTCTCTTTTGCTGATGGCAGCTTACATGATGCATTGCCCACCCACCCCCATCCTCATTTTTGTGATGTGAACCAAGACTGTAAACAGGTTTTATCTTCGTAGTTGGTAAGAGAGTCATGCATTAGTGGCAGACGGGCTGTGTTCAGATATTTAACATCAGGGCGCTGCTCCTAACTTACTTCCCCGCACTTTCAAAGGTCCTCTCTGGCCACTTTGGCGCCACTGGCCGTTGAAATGTAATCATGGAGTGAAGTCACAAGGCAGTAAGCCATCATCTTTGTTAATCCAGATTGTCCAAAATGTGCTTATATCATGTATGAGTATTCCTATCCCCCAAATGAAAATGTGAAATGTAAAACTTCTCTCAGCATGGGAGATTATGTCTGCTGGCTCCTAAGAGAAACGACCACCAGTTTGAGAAACGCCAACCTTTAAAATATTGGACAAACACTTGGTAACCAAGAAGCACTTTCTGTTGTATGGTTTTCTTAGAAAAGATGGGTGACACTTCTAGAGATGCCTGTTCACCTAAACCTGGATCTGCTCTCTTGGCAGTCAATAAACCAATGGCCTAAACATAATCCAGTTAAATGAACAAATCAATTGAAATCATTTCATGTATTTCTAACAGTTTGTGTTGTCTTCCTTTGTTTCCACCATACCCTGAGCTCCTGGATTGAGGGGCTGTGCCTTGTTCCCCGTGTGTGTGGCATTCTGCCTGGCACACTGTAGGTGCTTAGGAAATGTTGGCTGTGAGAATGAATGGATATCAGTATAAGAAAGTACTTTATGATGTTTGATGGATGCTGGATGACCTGCTCCAGTGTCTGACTCCTAGAAACACATGCCTTGTCACCTGACACTGTGCTAATGAATAGGCTGGCCTGGTAGAGAAGTGGGTCTAGCCTGACTCCAGTGCATTGTTACCTGCGGAACCAAACCAGTTGTGTTATTCTGGGAAGTTTAGAGAAACAAATCCACAGAAACTCATGTATAAGAGAGAGTTTCATATAAAGGTTAAGTGCACATCAGGAAAACATCCCAACCCAGTGCTGCCCAAGCCCACAAGTCCAACATTAACCCATATGTCTGACACTGT